GCGGTGCCCCCGCGCTCGGCCTTCAGCGCCAAGCGCTCCGAGAGCCGGGAGCCGCCGCCCGCCGACGCGCCGCTGCCCTTCGACCGCGTGCTGCTCAACGAGCAGGGCCACTACGACGCCGCCAGCGGCAAGTTCACCTGCCAGGTGCCCGGGGTCTACTACTTCGCCGTGCACGCCACCGTCTACCGGGCCAGCCTGCAGTTCGACCTGGTCAAGAACGGCGAGTCCATCGCCTCTTTCTTCCAGTTTTTCGGGGGGTGGCCCAAGCCGGCCTCGCTCTCGGGCGGCGCCATGGTGCGGCTGGAGCCCGAGGACCAGGTGTGGGTGCAGGTGGGCGTGGGGGACTACATCGGCATCTACGCCAGCGTCAAGACCGACAGCACCTTCTCGGGGTTTCTGGTCTACTCCGACTGGCACGGCTCCCCGGTCTTCGCGTAGGCCCCGCCGGGGAGGGCGGCGCTGCCGCCCTGCGCCCGCCCTGCGCCCGGGAGGGCCGGACCCCCTGGGACCCTGCCCGTGCCGCCCTGCGGCCGCAAGGATGGAGATGGGGAGACCGGGGAGACCGGGGAGGCAGCACGGGGCAGTGGCTGGATTTCTGCCCGAGACCAAAGCAATGTGCTGCGTTGGCAAATGTAGGTCCCCTGCCCCCCCTCGATTTCTCTGGCCCAGAACCCCGAAGTGGGATGCTCTCTTCCTGCCTCTCTGAGCCTCCCCCGTCCCTCCTGCTCGCAGGGCCGGCCCTTCTCTCAGAGGTCACTCAATAAACTTTAAACCCTTCCTGCTGCTGGTGTGTCCGCCTTTCTGCAGTAGTGGGGGTGCCCTGCCTCTGAGCGCCATGTCCTGGGGCGGGGGGAGGCAGGGGTCTGGTGTGGGCCTCTGGTCATACGGAGAAAAAGGTGCCTTTTTCTAAAGGATGCCAAACCAGGTGGGGACTGCCTTCACCGCGAGCACCAGGCTCTGCCTGGTCCCCGGGTGACTGGAAACGCTGAGTAGTCTCTGGGATGACCACCAGGGGGTGCAACGCAGCAACTGCTCTCTGCTTAAACCTTCAAGTTCTTAAGGGTGATTATGTGGAGGAAGGGTACTCAGGGCTGCCAAAAGAATTCCAGATGGGGGGGAGCAAGAAAAGGGGGGAGGGTCTTCTGCTCCTGGCTCAGGAAGTTTATCTTCCCTGATAAAATGTTTATTCCTACATTAAACAGAGACTGGAAGGAGCCGAGCCTCCCCTTGCTCAGGCCCCTGTCCAGGAAGGGGGGGAGGGAAACAAAAGCCCAATCCAGCCTCAGGCCTCCCAGCTGAGGGGGAGGTGGGGAACTCTCCCCCGAGGTGCTGCACACAGCCCGGGTGGGCCAAGCCTTGAAGTCTAAGGCTAGCCCCAAAGCGCCCCAGAGGTTCACCTCCTGTGAGCTTCAAGGTCTAGCCTGGGACAAGTTAGTCAATTTAAAGACTTGCTGGTGGTGTGCGCAGCCTCTCAGCCTTGGCGGGGCTCTCCTCAGCTTCTGCAGGCCCCACTCGTCTCCTCCCCCTTCCAGAAGGCATTACACAATACAATTATGGGGCGCAGGGGGGGGGTGCTGCTAGTCATTGGAGGGCAGCTACAATCTAAGGGACTGGGGCCCAAGTGCACTGGAGACAGGCCGCAGGCCTCTCAGGCTCCAGCTCCCTGCCTCCACTAGGAGGTCCCAGCGCCACAGTCCAGCCCATCACTGCAGCAGACTCTCAGCCAAGAGACACAGAGACACGCACCAGTTCTGCAGAGATCCCAAGTCCTCTCCTGGGAAGACTGATTCAACGGGTAAGAAGTTCACCTTTGGCTCCTTGAGGGAGCTGGCAAAAATGGAAGACATAGGGGAGGCATGTCCAGACCCATGTGTGCAACACAAAGAACAAATCAGAGAGTTAGCACTAAGCCGGTCATGCCTGGCATAGGCTTTTCCTTGGCACAGCCCTGCCACTCTTACCGCATCTTCCCCACCCCCAGTTCTATGGCCTGGTTCTTCAGACACAACCGATGTGAGAGACCCTGCTGCAGCATCTGTCACCCAGACGCTGCTCACCTTTGCAGGGATGGATGCTGAGGCGGTTAGAGCTGTCAATAGAACTTTATTCATCAGAAACTGGCCCCTTCTGTTTGGACCCTAGTGAAATGTGCACAGTCTGCCCTCCCGACTAACAGGGAGAGACAAAGAGAAATGCCATTTTTCTATGCCATGTGGGGAGTGAGGGAATGAGTAGAAATTTGGTTTTTCCTCCTGAGGTTCCCTGTGGAGCTAGGGAGCCCCAGGGTCTATGGTCCCAAAGCCAGGTACACACACACACACACCATAAATGAAAATTGACACACACACACACACACACACACACACACACCCCATAAATGAAAATTGATCCCAGCTTTTGGATTGAGTTTGGAGGGAGTCTCATCAGATCGTGACAGGCAGAAGCAGCTCTCAGAGCACCTGAGTCTACCCCCAAACCTAGCAGGACACAGGGATACTGGCCGAACACCAAAGTTCAAGACCATCCCATGGCCCCTAAGTTATCAAAATACACAAATGACACTGATGTGTTGTGGCTGCAGAAGCTCGGAGGAAAGTGGCAGGTAAAGAATTGTAAATCACCAACAGAAAAAATGAACAGGAAGCAAAGGATAGCCCCAGAAGCTGACATCTGGGTGGGCCCTGGGCAGACTTGAGGAGAGGCCACTGGGGACAGTCTCAGAACCCTTGCATAGTGAAATACTCACCACCCTCAGGATTAAGGGACCCACGGGGTTCAGCAAAGCTATGCTAGCCTGCCCCACCCAGATCACCGTTTTCCAGTGTATCACATCTCCACAGATGTATGGTTTGATGCTTTACAGGGAAGCCATAGCGACAGAGGTGATTCAGGCCATAACCTGGAGGGCTTCTGCGTGGGAGGGTCTGCGAGGAGCATGGAGGGTGGGTAGGCAGAGTGGTTTTCAGAGGTAGACATTGAGGGTCTGCAGGATGCCGCGGCGGCAGAGCGGGCAGTTGCGGTGGTAGACGGGGTGGCGCATCAGGATTTCAGTGCAAGCCTGGCACAGGCACAGGTGCCGGCAAGGCAGGAGCAGCACAGTCTTGCTCTGGTCCTGGCAGATGACACACTTTTTCCGCTCCTCTTGCTCCTTCAGCAACTTCCATGGGTCTTGTCCAGCCGTGGGTCCCTCCTCATTGAGTCTCTCCCGGCCCCGTGCAGGTGGATTTCTGATGGTGCTGACCTCCTCCTCTTCTGCATCTGCTCTGAGCCCCGCTTCAGGAGGTGTGTCCTGACCCTGGGTCCTGGTGGGGAACACTCTCCTAGGGCCACCCAGGGGGGCTCCTGATGCCCCTCCCCGGTTCGGCCAGCTTGCCAGTTGTAGGCTACGGCTCCAAATACGGTGCCAGGCCTCCACACCAAGTGCTAGGCGAGACAGCCGAAGGACATCCTCTCGGAGCCGGTGGAAGGATGGGCGAGTGTGAAGCTGGCTGAGTGCTCGGGTGGCCAGCCTCAAGATGAGGTCCGGGTGCAACACAGTCACAGTCACTGCCAGCACGCAAGCCAGCAACACCAAACCAGTGAGATTGACAAGCACAAAGCTGGCCAGGAGGCGGGCGGCTGAGGCCAGCAGCTCCAGGGCTAGTTGGCAGGGGGTCCAAAGGAGGATGGCCATGGCCACAGCACTGCTGGAAATGTGGGACAGGAAAGCGGCCATCACGTCTGTCATCCTCCACAGAGGCCCTGTCACGGCATCCCACAGGGCCAGCACCAGGGAGAAAAGGTTCTGTGTGCCAATGAGGCAAATATTAACCAGGCTGTTGACCACGTAAGCCACCAGGCTCATGGCAATGCCACAGATGTCACAGGCCTGGCGCAGCAAAGCGTGGCCATTGGAGATGACGTTGAGCACACCCCGGTGCAGGATCTCCCGGCTCCGTAGCGCCCCATGAGAGGCCAGGTGTCCCAGGAGCTTTAGGCTCTCCAGCCCAGAGCAGCAGCTATAAAGCAGGGTACCCAAAGCCTGTAAGCCCCCAGAGATGAACCGGACCAAGACTTCGATCAAGGCCAGCAGAGAAAGCAGGACACCTCGGCCCAAGTGCAGAAGACTCGTCAGTACCGTGTGTGGCAGGTTGTAGATGAAGGCAAGGAGCCAGGCCAGGGAAGCCAGGAGGGAGGACACCAGCAGGAAGTTGAGATCCAACACCAACGTCAACACGTCCAGCAGCAGGCCCACCCCATTCACTACGAGGTACACAGCCTCCATGATCAGGACGAGTCGAGCGTGGTCCGGAAGGAAGGCTGGCTCCTCGGGGAGGGCGTTGTCAATATTGTGGGGAGTCGGAGGTTAACCTGGAAGGGAACCGCGGTCTAAGGAAGGAGAGGGTCGGAGGGAGAGGGGGCCAGGTGCCACTCCAAGGGTCCCTGTTTGGAGGCTGGGCCAGTTCGGAAGAGGCCCAACATCTCTGAAGTGAAGGCGAACCCGGGCTGCACGGCAGATCTCCGCTTTGGAGGCCTAGGGCGGCGTACCACGGCCGGACAACGGGTCAGACCCGGAGGAACCGAGGACCGACAGGCTGGGACCAGGCCGGGCCGGGGCCGGGGCCGGGGCCGGGTGGGGGCGGCGCGGGCTGGCCGCGAGTTCGCGGTCCAGCGACGCAGGTGCCCCCGGCCCCGCCCGGCCCCCGTCCTCCTGCTCGCGGCGCTCGACGCCCACCGGAGGCGTGGGAAACAGAGTCCGCTTCAGCAAGGCCCGACCTCGGCCTCAACTCCGCTGGGCGCCGCCATCTTGTGCGCGGAGGGGTGGGCTAGAGGCGACCTGGGCAGGGCGGGACGATGACCGCCAGCCAATCGGCGAGGTCCAGCCGCAGGAACCTCGAGCGCTCATTGGTCCCTTTGAAAGGCGCCCAAATGGACGTACTTTCCAAAGAGAGGAGCGGACACGTACAATAGCCCCTCCCCTTTAAGTGGTGATTGGTCCGTTGACGGCCTCGTGGCCACGCCCTCTAAAGGAGCCGGCTGGAGGTTTAAACTGTAGTCTCCGGCCGCGGGTGGCGGCCTGTGGGCTGGGGCCTGGGCCATCGCCGTCTCCGCGTCCCGGTCAGACCCGCCTTCGCACCTCTTCTCGTTCATTCCCTCATTCTATCAGTTATCCAGCTCCTACAATGCTTTGCGGGTGAAATCCTCATTGTGTCAGCTTTGTGTGACCGATGACAAAGTACCCGTGGTAACCAGTTTTCTTTTAGTGCCGGCCCTGGGGGCTTGAACGCGGCCGGGTGCTCTCATTGGCTGCTGGTGCTCCACCACGTGAACCACGGCCCACGGTAAACTGGTTCCTTTGGCGCCGAGGAGCAGCCAAAGTCCTGCCCGTGGCCTAACTCCCTTCTACTCGGGCCCATCTGTTCCCCCTGCAACACTGGGGTAGAAGTCAGGGCAGTACTGTTACATAAGCCCTTGTGCAAAGCATCCTTCTGAAGGTGCTTTGGCCAAACAGATGACCAACTGCCAAACCAAACCATAAACAGACACTTCACCCGAGCTGGGAGGGGGGGGAGAGGAAGTACCTGGACCAAGAGATGAGACCTGTGATTAGTACAAATAAGATCCTTCATTTGCATAACAGACTGTCCAGTGATTGGTGCAAACTCGGTTCTTCATTTACATAATGGCCTGTCTTGTCATTGGTGCAAACCGAACTTGAGCAAACTGTGCTTGATGTAACACCTGTCCATTCCAGACAGGATGACGGGCTGGTCAACCTCAGTTTGTGAGCTCCAATGCCCTACCTGTCAGGGACCTGGTATCTGACTCCTGAGGCCCAAACCCTATGTCACCATGCATAGGTGACAAAGTAGCTGTCAAAGGCCTGAGGCTGATTGTCACTGTTTACTGCCATCTGCTCCACTCCCTGCAAATATTCACAATGACAGGAACTTCTCCACCTACCTATGATTTCTATGTAGGTAGAAAAGAAAGGTCCCAGCCAGCTGGTTTATAATACACTAGGGACACATGAGCCTCTGAAGAATATTGAGTTCAAAATTTATGTTTACAACACCAACGGCCCCAGTGGGTCATATCTGTAATCCTAGCCACTCAGAAGGCTGAGATCTCACAATCGTGGTTCAAAGCCAGCCCAGGCAGGAAAGTCCATGAGAATCTCATCTCCAATAAACCACTCAGAAAATGAAGTGGTGCAGTGCTTCAAGTGGTAGAACGCTAGCTGAAGAGCTGAGGGACAGCGTTCTGGCCCAGTTTAAGCCTGATGACCAAGAAAAAAAAAAAAGCTGGTTAGCTTTCAAATAGTTCTAACAGGGCTGGAAAGGTGGCTCAGTGGTAGAGCGCTTGCCTTACATGCATGAGGCCCTGGGTTCGATTCCTCAGCACCACATAAGCAAAAAGAAAAAAGCCATAAGTGGCACTGTGGCTCAAGTGGTAGAGTGCTAGCCTTGAGCTGAAGAGCTGAGGGACAGTGCCCAGGCCCAGAGTTCAGGCCCCATGACTGGA